TCCCACTCCCTGGATCCCCCCACCAGCTGCAAGCAGCATCCTTGAACTGTGACTTCTCCTTCTCTCCCCTTCCCACCACCCAGTTTCTCTTTCTAAGGAAGCAAATAGGGTGAAATTGCCCATTTGGATCTCAGATCTTCACCTGCCTTCACTGTGTCTCCCCACCCCAAGCGAAAGCCTCTCACCTGGGGTGGCATCAGGCTGGACACCTCCAGCTCCCACCCAGGGCTCCTCAGGATCCCTCTGCAGCCATGCTTGGTCTCCTCATCCTCTGCCACCCCAAGCCTGGCTGCCCATGGAGCATTGGGTGTAGGATCAGCTCCACAGGGCAGGAACTGGGGGAAAATCACAGAGCTGAGCTCCAGCTCCATGAGGAGACTAATGTGTGAGAAGGATGTGGAGACCACCCTGCAGCTCTCCACTTCCACCCACCCTGTGGGCAAACCCCTCAGCAGCATGGAGCTGGGTTACAGCTGGGTATCTCCATTTAAATCCCTAATTTCTATGATTCTAATTTGGGGGTCACCCCCCAAAAAAACCAATGCGATGGCCCCAAATCATTGGTTTAACCCACCTCAGTGTCCCCTGGAAACGCCAACCCCAAAACAAGGCTGGGAAAGCAGGAAGGAGTGTTTGCACCCACAGCAACAGAGGTGATGAGGGCACAGCGAAGACTCGGGGCCAGGGAGAGGTGGTCCTACCCATGGGCATGGCATCTCCCTCCACGCTGCAGCCTGGAGGGCACCCTCTACACTTGTATGTATATAGATCCGTGTGTCTCTGAGTGTAGTTGTATGAACCGAAGTGATGCCAGGTCACCCCTGTGTGTGATGGAGCCTGGGATCTGTCAGGTCCCCAGCACCAGCTGGGACCTCACTAAGTGCTTCAGCCAATATTCCCAGCTCCAGCCCTTGTGATTTTGGGCTTTCCGTGGCATTTCTGTACAGGAGCTGTGCTTTCCACAGCAAGAAATCAATAAAAGCAGAGCTACCAAGCACTTTCCAGCTCTCCTTTGGCTCTGGGGCACTGAAAACGAGCAGGGGCCGCCTCAGGGGGGGTGTTTTGGGGAGCGATGGGAGAGGAGCTACCTCTCAGTTCATGTTCTATACTGGGAAAACCACCCTGCAGGAAAGCCGGAGCCCCTCCAGCCGAGGTGCTTTTGCAAGCCCCGCTGTCCACAAGCCTTTGCACCACCCCGGGGGCACTGGGGGGGCGATGCAGTTGTAGTTTCATAGCCCAGCAGCTCCAGAGGGGGCTCAGATGGCATATCCAGCCCAGTGGCATAACACGGCACGGACCTGCCCCGCACCTCCAAGCTACACCCAGGGACCACCTTTACAGCCTAATAACATGTTTGCTATTACAGAAAACATTCTTTTTCCAGTGAATCCACCCGAACATCCCAGGCTCGATCCCTCTGTGTGTGATGAACTAGGAAGCTGCGTGTTCCTTTGTCTGCACGGCAGGTTTAGGCTGACTTTGGAATTGCATGATTATGCACATGGAAATGAATGAAGCTGCCTCTCCTGGTGAGAGCTCCCAGCAGCCCAGCTCCGGAGCAGCCTGGCCTGGATTCAGGCTCTCAGCACTCAAGAGCTGCTGCTTGGCTTGGAACTCCTCATTGGCAAGGGAAAAGCCCAACACCAGGAATCATTTCTAGGCTTTTTTCCCCCTCCTTCCTTCCTCTCATAGTCCTAAATTCTGCCAAGTGGGACTGGGGGGAACATGCAGAGCCCAGGGCCAGCCAGGGGGTGGTTGGTGTCCCGAGGATCCTGCTCCCCAGCTCCCAGGCGATGTCCTAAGAAGTTTTCCCTGTTTTTGGCCTTTTGGGATATACTGGCCCAGATTCCCAGCCTTAATGACAGGACTTTGGATGGGGCTTGGAGCAACCTGCTCTAGTGGAAGGTGTCCCTGTCCGTGGCAGGGGTTGGAGCTGGAGGAGCTTTAAGGTCCCTTCCAACCCAAACCAGACTGGGATTCTATGACCATCAACTCAGCATCCCACAAACCCTCTGGAAGACGCAATTCCCTCCCAGCAGATCCCGCAGGAGCATTGCAGAGGTGGATTTTCTTTGCATCCCCACTCACACCACGCAAAACACTTTCATTCTAGAGACAACAGAGCCTCCCAACACCAGAGCTCAGCCTCTGTAGATGCTAAAAGCCTCAAATCCCACATTCCCATCTTTTGTCTGTAAATTAAGCACCTTTTAGGCACTTCCAATAGCAACAGATGCAGACCAGGAAGGTGGGATTGAAGCCACTGATCCAAGACCCCCCTGGCAATGAACAAAGGGTCTGGTGGTGGAGAACCTCAGCCGTGCACCAAGGTCCCCACCACAGGACCCCAATCCCTCCTCCTCACCCCCAAATTGCCCCCACCTCACTCTGCTGGTGCAAAACCTCATTAATGAGACGTTTCCCTTTGCTCAATTAAGCTGTTTTCCCTCAGCCACCCTCTCCCCCTGTGCGGGGGCTCATCCTTCCCCCAATTCCCAGCAACTTCCCATTGAGGTGTCACTCTGGCTCCAAGACAGTGACAGCTGATTCATCAGCTCCCAATAGTTTAAATCCTATTGTTCTCCCCAAACCCCCTTTTTTTCCCTTCTTTCTTGAAAATACCAACTCACAAGGGGATGTTTTCTCCTTCCCAGGAGCAGCCCCACAAGGATGGGTGCATGGAAATGATCCCTGCAGGAGATGGAGGCCCTGCACCAGCTCCTGGTAGGATCCAGCGCTGGGGTGACCACGCAGGATGGTACCACCAGCTCTGCCCATCCTTGTTGCTCAGACCTGGGGGATGGATGCAAAAGGGGATGGGGAGCAGGGGGAGCAGTGGGATGGGGGCTCCTGGCTCATGCTGCAGGGAAGCCTGGGGAGGAGGTAGATCGGGTAGGACCAGAATGAGCTGAGCCTTCTGAAAGGGTGTCCCTGGGCTTGGTGTTACCTAGAAGGGACCAACCAGCCCTTGTCTGAGACATGGGGCAGGATACAGACCCTTGGCTGGGCTCGTTGGGTCCTTCAGGTCCCCTTCCCCTCTGTGCTGCCAGCAATGCCTCAGGGGGCTCCAGCCCTTGCCAGGATGAGTTTTGTCCTTCCTAAGACAGTTTTCCATGGAGTTTCAAACAGGACATCACCTCAGGAGTCCTTACCCTCACTGGGAGGCACCCACACTACCCAGGGATGGATGGGTACCCCACACCTCACATTCCCCAAACCCAGCTTAACTGCATCCAACTCCAATCCAGCCGGGAGCCCTGCAGAGCCAGAAGCTGCTCTTCCAACCAACTTCCCCATCAGGCAGCCAACACCAGCAGGTACCCCGAGAGCAGCATTAGCCATGATATTAGTGATGGCAAATTCCAGGCTCCATCCTTGGCATTAAAACACTTCCCATGGGCCCACACCCCAGCTTTATGCTTACATGGGAAAGGAAAAGCCCTTCGGAACCCAGCACTGCAACCACCAAACGCAAACCTGGCCCTTCGTGGTGGGAGAGGTGGGTGCCCACAGCACGCTCAGGCTCGTGCTGGAAGCCCAGAGACACTGGGGATGGCCCATCAAACAGGCAGGGTTGTGTGGGGAGGGTGATGGGACAAGCACAGCATCATAGAATCAACCAGGTTGGAAA